TTAACCTATATCATGACTTATTAGTATTAACACCTCATCATTCATTAACTATAATCTCTATTTAAATGTCATTTTCAATGGTTAACCTTTTCCCATAACTTTTTCTCTAAATTTAACTAATTTAATCCCAATCTATTTAAAATGTTCTATATAAACCTTACATTTAATTTGTTATTTTTAAACACACATCATATTTTAATACAAACTATTCTAATAAATATTATCGTTATAAAATGTTATTAATTATTTGATAGAATTAATTAACTAGTCAATAAATAAATTAATTAAAAACTAAAATATAATTAAGGGAGAAAGTAAAATATGATTAGAAGATAAGGGGGTTATTTGTACAAAGGGTTAAACTATATTGACCACTATTGAGTGGTCAATAAAAATGATCAAAAAAGTTATGCACTCCAATGACAATAAGTGTTCAGTATAGATAAATTAATAGTAATAAGCTCTAAAAAAATACCATTGAAGATACTCTTAGGATGATTAGGGGAGGCTCCTAGCAAAGTCTCAAGCAAAACAAATTAATAAGGAAAATCCCAAACTTTTGGGAAAAGTTTCAAAAAAACCGTAAATATTTTTTTGAATAAAAAAACCCAGAAAACCGAGATATCCTTTAGGGGTTGTTTGATTTACTACTGACCCGGTCCGGTTAGACCTTTTTGACTAACCCGGTCCGGTCAATGCGTTTGATAACAACAATAAACCACTTACTCGGTCAGCCAATCTCTTACCCATCACTTACCGAGTCCTAAAAAAATGAGCTGACCGGGTCATTTTCCTTGATTGCCCCTGGTTTTACACGGACGCTTCCTCGTCTCCCTCAATCATCACACCTCCAACGATGCTTCTTCTCTATCGACCTACCAACGACTTGTGCTTCGGCTTCTCTCACCTCCAACATACGCATTCGGCCGCCTCCGTTCGGCGCCACTTCGCTTGAGATTCGGCCTTCTTCCAGCGATAAGGAACACCCTTTCTTTTCCCCCTTCTTGCGCCAGTGAACAGTTCCATCCAGGTATGATTCGATTGGGTTCTATTTCGGTTTTGAAGAATTCGCTTGCGATCATTTATTTTTCCTCATTCTCGTATGTGTTGAACTTTGATTAGTGTAGAATTGCATTACCATTTTACTAGTCTTCCAACAAGTGTAATTTCCTCAACTTCTGCATTGTTTTTCAGTTATTGAGATTTTTTCTTCACATGTTTCTTGATTGTTGAGATTTTTTCTTCACATGTTTCTTGATTGTTGCTGTCATTGCATTTTTTATTATTGTTGCTTCTATTGTCTGGATTTGCTGATGTTGCTCCTATTGTAACAAGCTTTTGAATTGTTGTTAATTTCCTTAAGTTTTCAGGTTTTTTTCGGTTTTGCCCAAAGTTGAATTTTATGATCGTTTTTGCCGCAAACTTGCAATTTCTTTTTCAGATTTGCCCCTTTTACAAGTTTAACCGGAACAGTTCCATCCAGGTATGATTCGATTGGGTTCTATTTCGGTTTTGAAGAATTCGCTTGCGATCATTTATTTTTCCTCATTCTCGTATGTGTTGAACTTTGATTAGTGTAGAATTGCATTACCACTTTACCAGTCTTCCAACAAGTGTAATTTCCTCAACTTATGCATTGTTTTTCAGTTATTGAGATTTTTTCTTCACATGTTTCTTGATTGTTGATGTCATTGCATTTTTTATTATTGTTGCTTCTATTGTCTGGATTTGCTGATGTTGCTCCTATTGTAACAAGCTTTTGAATTGTTGTTAGTTTCCTTAAGTTTTCAGGTTTTTTTCGGTTTTGCCCAAAGTTGAATTTTATGATTGTAACAAGCTTTTGAATTGTTGTTAGTTTCCTTAAGTTTTCAGGTTTTTTTCGGTTTTGCCCAAAGTTGAATTTTATGATCGTTTTTGCCGCAAACTTGCAATTTCTTTTTCAGATTTGCCCCTTTTACAAGTTTAACCGGTTATTTGTACAGGTGGCAGGCCACGTACGCGATGAGTATGATACTTTTGCTGACGTGTCAGCCACGCATTTGCTGACTGTATTTTAATACACAAGATTGAAAAAACTCATCAAGAATGAAATGAGGTAGGAAAGATTCGAACCTACCACCTCAAACTCACAAATACAAAGGCTTACCACTAAGCTACATTGCCTGATGTGTTTTGTTACCTGAAAATATGAATATAATGTATATCACGGAAACATTTGATTTTAATTATTATTATTATTATTATTATTATTATTATTATTATTTCGTTTTTTCAATCTAAATAGGTATTTTTATGAAATATTTGTTTTTTCGTATTTTCAATATAAATTCATATTTTATAGGTATAAAATATGAAAATACAATATAAAATACATTATGTATAAAGATTTTTTTTTTGCATATTTAGAATGTATATATGTATTTATTTCGTATAAAACATATTGTATACATATAAATATGAAAATAATATATAAATACATTCAAAAATATCTCTATATCTATATCTATATATATATATATATATATATATATATATAATGTTTTTATACCTATAAATAATGCTTTTTACATATAAATAACGATGTTCTACATATTTAGATGTATAAAAATGTTTCTCATTCACATAAAATACATAAATACTTTTTTATAAAAAATAAATACATATATACCTAATAAATACGTTACGTACGTTTTTATGTGATATATATGTTTTTTTTAAATACGGTTTTCAATATATAAATACGCTCAAAAAAAATAATAATAATTATAATAACAATAATAACAAAAACAATAATAATAATAATAATAATAATTATAATAATAATAATTGTTCCAGCATTAGACATTATGTACATTATGTTAGAAAATTAAACAAAAGAATCCTTCTAGCTTGGTGGTCGAAGTCTATGCCAAGTTGGTGAGAGGCCTGGGTTCGAATCTCCCTGGTCTGTATTTCGTTCACACGCGTTTTCATTTTTCATTTGAGGGCAGCAACATTGCCGTGGCCAAGCTAAATTTCAACTTTGGGTAAAACCTGAAAACCTTAGGGTTTTTATGACATTAACCCAAACTTTTATTGTGATTATGTTTTGTTGTTGTGATTTAATTTACATTTGATTTTTGTGTATATGTGTGTATATTTGTGTAATGATAATACTTTTGTTGATTTTGCAGCATGCTGCTGGAGGGATACTTGAATTGTTGGTGGGGATGCTTGTAGAAACTTTTTTTTTAATGATAAGAACTACCAGCCAAGATCGTAAGAAGACCACATTCACAACTTCTAAACTAAAGAAGAATTAGTAGAATTTTGTGTGTAAAATTATAAATTCTTGTATTTTTGCAACTTTTGGGTAGAAGAAATATTTGTTGTTTACATGAGTGCCTATTTATCCGATTCAGGTTGGAATCTACATGGTTATGTATTAGGAATGTAAATGGATATTGGAATAATCACATTTATTTTTGAAAAAAAATATTTATCTTTTTAGTTGTGATATCTAGTATTTTGGTGGTTTTTAATTATAATTACTAAAATTTATTGTCATTGTATATATCTTTTAAACTTGTGTGTATGTGTTTATATAGTTGTTTCTATGTGTATATGTGTATGTATTTGTGGTTATTTTTCATCATAAGGGTATTATGGTCATTTTTCATCATTCATCACAGTCAATCACAATCAGTCAGATATAGACTCAATTAGAACTTCTAACCCATCAGCAACTATGAAACGTGAAATAATCAAACAACATTAACTCAGTCAGATATAGACTCAATCAGAACTTATAACCCCAGTATGCAACTATCAAACGCGGCCTTAGTTTAGTCCAGTTTAACTTTTTCAGCCGGTTTACCATGCCACATGTGTGCTGATGTAGGGGCTGCCAAGTCAGCTTCTTCTTTATCATTATAAAAAAGGAGCTTTTTTGGAGACATAAAGGAGGAGAAATTTGAACCAACATCTCCACCCTTTGAAATCACTACACCCTACCAGTTGAGCTAGAAGATTTATATGCATTTCACCCTTCACATTTATATTTATTTACTATATGTGGAAGTTTATTTTTTTAAAATATGACGTTTATGGGAGTCAAACACGCGCCAACTCTATAGAAACGCAGGCTCTTATCAATTTAGATGAATACATTCATTGCGGTTTATCCATCACACTTTTATATATTCATTTTCCTCTGAATTTTTAAATACATTTATTATTATTATTATTATTATTATTATTATTATTATTATTATTGTTATTATTAGTAGTAGTAGTACTATAAATATTACATGATTTTTAAATTCGTTTTTATCAAAGTTATTAAATAATTAAATATCTAAATACATTTTAATATTTGTAAAAACATATAAATGTAATAAATACATATAGGGATTTATATGTTTTTATATTTTTAAAAAAAATGTTTTTTATGTTTTTTTTTTCAATTAATACGAATTTTATTTAATAATACTAATAATAATGAATATTTTGAAAAAATAAGTAAAAATACATTTAATTGGAAAAAAATATAAAAATGTTTTTTTTAATTTAAAAACATATAAATAATGTATTTATACATTTACTAATAATGATAAAACGAATTTAAAAAATAATATATTGATTTATACTTATTATAATAATAATAATAATAATAATAATAATAATAATAATTATTATTATTATTATTATTATTATAACATATTTAAAGCTTCGACATACATTGTTATATATAGTTGTGATGGATTAATAACAATAAAAATGTCTCGCTCAAGTGGTAAGGTTGATGTATCTGTACTGTGGGTGCCCGCGTTCGATTCCATCGACAATCATATTTTATACAGAAACCCTACGTGTCCGACGATTTCGGAAGCTTCCCGGCGGGATCAAACGCCGGTCGACTGATCGTGAAATCTTTTCAGTTTGCCTCATTCTTCTTGTTTCATTTTCCTGGTAGGGTTTCTCTAAAGTCTTTTTCGATTCTTCATTCTGGGATTGTTCATATGAGTCGTAAGGAAACGTGGGATTGGAAAATTGCCAACAAAAAGAAGGGTGGGTGGAATGTCGATAAGGTTTCTGCACCTTTCTTTCTCACCAATTTTCCTCCTGACTTGGATAATAAGCAACTTTGGTCCATTTTTGAAAAGTATGGGAGGGTTTTAGATGTTTATATTGCCCGAAAGTTGTCCAAGTTTGGGAAACGGTTTGCGTTTGTTAGATTTCTTAAAGTGTAAGACGAGAAACAGCTTGAATTGAAGCTTCGTGATATGTGGATTGGCAGTCATCATGTTTTTGTTTCTTTGGCCAAGTTTGGAAGGGAGAACACTCATGTGCATGGGGAGTCACAGGTGCATGTGCATACTATTGGTGGGGGTAATAATAATTCTCATAAGGTAACTTATGCTAATGCTGTGAAGGGTGTGATTTTAAAGGCGAATAAGGCTAAGTTGTCGCTTACTCTTGAGGGTAAGGATCTTGTTAATGATTTGGCTTTGAAACCATCAGTTTTTTGTCAAGTTAGAAGTGTTAGGTTGATCCAGAAGTTATTAGTCTTGCTGAAAGTGGAAGGTTTTCATGATTTACAGATAAAATATTTGGGTGTGATTGGGTTTATGTGAAGTTTGAATCAGATATGGTGTGTACTAAGTTTAAGAAGTCTTATTCTGTTCGTGCTTTTTTCTCTAATTTCAGGCCTGTGGTTAATGGGTTTAAAGTATTGGAGAGGGTTGTTTGGATTGAAATTCTACGATGGTGCGGTGAATAAGGTGGCAGGAATTTGGGGTGAAGTGTGTTTCTTGGATGATGATAATCAAGCTCCATTGGCGATTAAAAGAGTTTGTAATAAAACAACTAAACCTTCATTAATTCATGATAAATTGTCTCTGGTGGTACAAAGAATTCTGTATAATGTAGTGGTTAGAGAATTTTCAAATTGGGAACCTGATATTTTATGTAATGAAGAAGCACTAGATTGTGATCTACCTTCTCTCTCGGGTGATTCGGAAAAGGGTGTTAATGGTTTTGATGATATTGTAGCTGAAGAAGAAGGGGAAGTGACACCTAAGGGTAAAGTTAAGTATATTGATATGGAGAATGATAATTCATTTGGCATTGAGCAGGATTATGTTAGTAACAGGGGGCAGGTTTTGTGGACCGGAAAGGCCGATTTTTTCAAATAGAGTCGTTAAAATATGATGTCAACAGGAGGGTATTCAATTCGGTGCCAATAGATGTTCATGTGGTTGGTCCGGTAGATGTTGATGCTGGTCTAGTAGATGTTGACGGTCCTGGAACAGTTTCGACTGTCCCGATTGCTATAGTGGCAGGTCCTATGGTGGAGGCTATTTAAGGGTTGGGTGATGATAATGTCTCGGTTGAGTCTCTTTCACAACCACCTGGTTTCAGGCGTGATGCTGAGTTGGATCCTGGGACTAGTAAAATGAAGTCCAATTCTGCTAGTTCTCATGGTTCTTCGAGATTGTTGAAAAAACGAGTCCCAACTAATATTGAAGATATTTCGGATATCATGAAACAGTATGTTGAAATGGGAAGGTTGCTTAGTTATGATATGGAGGGTAACAAAGATAAGGTGAAACAAATTTTGGCTAGTATTGGTGTGATTCAGGTTGTTTAATAAATTACATGTCTTTGAATATATGTAGCACCCGTTCTTGTCATAAAAGGAATTGGGTGAAGTCTTTGTGTGTTCAAAATGGTGTGTCGTTTTTGAAGTTACAAGAAACTAGAATGACTCAGTTGGATCTCTTCAAAGTTAGAAGTATGTGGGGGAATTGTAATTTTGATTTTGCTTTTAGTAGTGCTCGTGGGAGATCGGGGGTATTTTATCGATTTGGGATCCTAATGTGTTTCAAAAAATAGCATTGTTTGTACCAACAATGTTGTTATTGTTCGAGGTATCTCGGTGCCATTTAATATGGAATGTTGTATGATGAATGTTTATACTCCTCAAGATGTTATAGAGAAACGATTGTTGTGGAATTATATTTCTTCTTTTATTAGCAGATATGGGGGTAATTATGTTATTTTTGGTGATTTTAATGTGGTTAGAAGTCCTGAGGAGAGGTTTGGATCCATTTTCTGTTCATCTTCTGCTGGTGATTTTAATGATTTTATAGATGATGTGGTGGTTGTGGATGTGCCTATGATTGAGAATAAATTTAATAGGGTTGACTTTTCTAATGTCAAGCTTAGTAAATTAGATCGATTTTTGGTGTCTGAGGGTATTTATAATCGGTTTCAGGGATTACAGGTGGCAGTGTTAGATCGGTTGTGGTCTGATCATTGTCCTATTTTGCTACATGAAGTTAAGGTTGCTTATGGTCCTCCTCATTTTAGATTCTTTAATTCGTGGATGTTGTTGGATGGTTTTGATGAGGTGATTCGAGCAAGTGCTTCAGAGTTTGTGGTGAATAAAAGCTGGAGTAAATTTGTTGTGTTCAAAAATAAGCTTATGTTTATTAAGAATAGGATTCGGGAGTGGCATGTCCAGGCTAAGGAGATCCGTGAGCATCAAAAGGCTGATTTGAAGTCTCAGTTGCATGATATTGATAATTGTATTGATAGTGGCGATATCTCTATTGATTTATGTAATGAAAGAAAACAGGTTCTTGGGTCTTTGGCTTCTATGGAAAAACAGGGGGTGTCGGATGTGGTCTAGAAAGCTAAGGTGAAATGGTCTATTGAAGGTGATGAGAATACTGGATTTTTTCATGGTATGTTGAAAAAAAAAGACGTCAGATGTTAGTTCGTGGGGTCTCGGTTAATGGTGAGTGGGTTACGGATCCGGTGGCAGTAAAAAAGAAGTTTTTGATTTTTACTCTTCTAAGTTTCAAGCGTTTAATGGTATTCGGATGAAGGAGAGAAGTAATCTATTTTCTATTATTACGTCGGAGAATGCTTTGGGATTAGACATGCCTTTTACTGTAGAAGAGATTAAGGAGGCGGTTTGGGATTGTGGTAGACCTGGCAAACGTGCCGTGTCGTGTCGGGTTCGTGTCATGTCAAGACACTAAACGGGTTGAAAGTGTTTGACCTTAACCGGACCCGTTTAATTGTCGTGTCGTGCCGTGTCAACCCGTTTATTTTTGTGTCGGTTTCGTGTCGGGTTTCGAGTTAAGGTTTAGACCTTGTAAATATGTTGTGTCATGTCGGGTTGAAATATTTTAAAGGTTGGAAAGTAGGAGTTGTGGAGGCAAAAAGGAAAAAGTGAAACACTGGAGTTAGGCGACGGAATGACAAAATTTATAATAAGTTTAGAAGGAAAAATGAAAAGAGTTAAAATTGGGGAGTAAAAGGGATAGGTGGTGAGGATGACTAAAATTAAGTAACTTTGAAAATTTGAATATTACTTCTAATTCTTGAGTTTGGCCCACTACAAGTCTATAACATATAATATATTTATAAAAATATGAAACTTATTATAAATAATATATAATTAAACGGGGCATATTCGAGTCATCTTCGAGTTGAAAGTTTTGACCCTAACCCTACCAGTTTAATTATCGTGTCGTGTCGTGTCAATCCGTTTACATAAACGTGTCGAAATCTCTGACCCTAACCCGCTAATTTCGTGTCGGGTTTTCGTGTCGTGTCATGTTTTGCCAGGTCTAGATTGTGGTGGGGATAGAGCCCCAAGTCCGGATGGCTTTTCTTTTCAGTTTCTTAAACACTATTGGGATATCATGGGGTGATGAAGTGATTGCGTTTGTGCAGGAATTTTTTTATAAACCTATTATTCCAGTTGGTTGTAATTCCTCGTTCATTACCTTATCCCCAAGGTTGAGAATCAGTTACTTGTGTATGATTTCTGACCTATTAGCCTTATTGGGATGCAATTCAAGATTGTTGCTAAACTTTTAGAAAAATGTATGGCGTTGGTGCTTCCTGATGGTATTAGTGTGGAGCAGTCGACTTTTCTTAAAGGTCGACAAATTTTAAATGGACCCCTTATGGTTAGTGAGATGGTTTCTTGGGGGAAAAAGAAAAATAAGAAATTTCTTAATTTTAAAGTTGACTTTGAGAAAGCTTATGATTCCGTTAGTTGGGACTATTTGGATCAAATTATGGGGTTTATGGGCTTTGGTGATAGGTGGCGGTCTTGGATTCATGGTTTACTGAAAAATGCTAGATTTTCTATTCTAATGGCAGCCCAACTGAAGAGTTTCAACTTTTTAGAGGTTTACGTCAAGGTGATCCAATCTCCCATTTTTTGTTTCTTATTTCTATGGAGGGTCTTCATATAGCCATGGAGGATGCGGTTGCTTCTGGAAATTTTTGTGGGGTTAAGGTTGAAGAGGCTAATTTAGAGATTTCTCATATTTTTTATGCCGATGATGCTTTGTTTTTGGGTAAATGGGAGGAGGGCAATGTTCGAAATCTTATCACTATTCTTCGTTGTTTTTATATGGTTTCGAGTTTAAAGATTAATCTCTTTAAATCTAGTTTGTTGGGTGTTGGTGTTAATCAATCAGAAGTAACTTCTCTTGCTTCTATTACGGGATGTGATGTAGCTAATTTTCCTTTTTCTTACCTTGGAATTCTGGTGGGTGGGTCTATGAGCCGTGTCAGTAGCTGGGATGTGATTGTGGATAGGTTTCGCAAGAGACTTTCTAATTGGAAAGTTAAAATGCTTTCCATAGGTGGTCGTTTAACTCTGATTAAACCTGTTTTGGGCATCCTTGGGATTTATTCCTTTTCTTTGTTTCGTATGCCGGTTACAGTTTGTCATTTATTGGAGACTTTTAGGGCTTGTTTTTGGGGGAATGGAGGAAGACCAAAGACGTATTCATTGGTTCAAATGGGATATTATCCTTAATTCTAGGGATAAAGGTGGATTAGAGGTTGGTAGTTTGGTTGCGTTTAACCGGGCTCTCCTTTTTAAATGGAAGTGGCGGTTTCTTCATGAGCATTCGTCTTTATGGGTGAGGCTGATTAGAGGGTTACATGGTGATTCTGGGGCTTTGGCTCATAATTCTCGGCCTTCTGGAGGTATGGGAGTTTGGCAGAGAATTTTGGACTCTATCAAGAAGATGGAAAGTCAGAATGTCTTAGAAACCGATTCGATTTCGATTGTTGTAAGTGATGGGTTTGTGGCTCGGTTTTGGGAGGATGTGTGGTGTGGATGTGTGTTGTTTAAAACGCAATTTCATAGGTTGTTTTCGTTATCCTTACTGAAAGATGGGTTGGTCTCGGATTTTTGGAATTCTGGTGGGTGGAACTTCTCTTGGAGACGTGGCATTAGAGGAGGAGTTGAAGCTAAGAAATTAGAGAGTTTTATACAGATTTTGACTCCTATTCAGTTGACTTCCATTCCCGACAGGTGGTCCTGGAGTCTTGATCCAAGTGGGGTGTTTTCTGTTAGTTCCACTAGAAGGCATATTGATTCTCTTTTTCTCCCGGTCAGTGGAGTGGGGACTAGATGGAATCGGAATGTTCCAATTAAAGGTAACATTTTTTTGTGGAGATTGAGGTTAAGTAGAATCCATGTTCATTCGGTTTTAATGGATAAAGGTGTAGAGTTGGAGTCTATTCTATGCCCAGTTTGTCAGTCTGTTGAAAAAAGTGTTTCGCATCTTTTTTTCCAGTGTGAGGTGGCTCGTCATATTTGGAGGAGAATAAGGCTTTGGCTTGATGTTTCATTTCCTATTGACCTTGGTGTTGCAGAGATGCTTGATTGGATTGATTCTTCGTTGATTCTTGGTAGAAATCGGCCTAGCTTGGAGTCAGTTTGCATGGTGAGTTTATGGGTTATTTGGTCGTATAGGAATTGTGTCATCTTTAGCCCTAATAAGTTTAAAAAGCATCTTTTGTATGATACTATTGTTGATCTGTTTTTTCATTTGTTTTCTTTTCGGAACTCTAAGGCTTGTGTTAGTTGGATTGATTGGATGCGCAATCCGTCAACGCCTTAATTTTGTACTTTTTAGCTAGCTTCTAGCTAGTTTCTTTCTTTTTTGAGTTTTGCTGTTGTTCAAAAAAATATATATTTTATACAGAAAAAAGCTGTCAGCATATATTAAATATATATAAACGTGAAGGATTAAAATCAAGTAAGGCTTCTAGATAAGTTGGTAGGTTCATTAGTTTTGTTTGAAGGAAAATGCAGGTTCGAAACCTTCTCTCTTCATTTTCTAAAAAAAACAATTTTTTAATAAGGAAG